GTCTTTTCAACATCTTTCCAACACCTTGCCGCGAAAATCAAATTTGCGGAAAGCTCGGAGGTACCGCGATCGTAATCGACTTCTCGCAGTTCTTCTAAAATTAGAGGTCCTTTCAGCCTTTTGAAGAGCATATGGTAATTTCCTTTTTATTTCAAAAAGTGCAAGCGGAATGCTAAACTAAATTTTGCACAGGTCTTATAGACTTTACCCCTATATGGTCATTTTCGTGGTTGCTATGCAAAGTATAATAATATGGTACCTTCTTAAAGGGGGTATATAGGTGTGCCTGGGATTTTTGGTCACCTATCCAGAGTTTCTCGAATGAATCAATCAAAAGAAGATATCTTACCATTGCAAAAATAACTATTGGAGCAGCTCGCTACGGTCTAATAAAGTTGGAAGATTGAAAGCAAAGAAAATTTTTTCTAGTATAATCTGCAACAATTTTCGCTGAAGTGCGCATACTTTCAGGCAAAGTTTATTCGATCGCCTCTAAATGTGATTGATGTGCTGACAATCCTACCATTCATTATTGAAGCTTTCAACGAACTGCAATGGATGAGAAATTTTAGAGGTGATTTCTCAACTTTTCTGACAAAATCTGGAATGTTTATTCAATGACATTCGACAATTTTTCTGATTCAGGAGCCATGCTTGTGGTGCGAGTGATGCGATTGGCACGAGTGGCACGAATTTTTAAGCTCGCCAGGTATAGCACTGGTTTGCGAGCATTTGGAGAAACTATGAAGAAAAGTGCTGCCGAACTTAGCATGCTGGGCATGTTTCTAGTCACAGGTAGGTAAATTATATTTACAGCTTAGCAAAAACTCATTTACAATATTCATCTATTTCCTGACGTTTTCAGGCATAATGCTGTTTTCAACAGCCATCTATTTTTTTGAACGAGATGAGCCAAATTCAAAATTTTATTCAATACCAGCTGCATGTTGGTGGTGTGAGTTTTTCAAGCTTTTTTGAGAGATGACTTTTGCAAAAATGTTTACTATTTGTGGAAGAATATTTAGGC